GTAACCGTGGTTTTAAAAAAACCACGACACCAACTACACCCAGAAAAGCAGGGGAAAAAAAGCAAGATAAATAAAAAGATACCAAACTCATTGTATGCATAAGGGCCTGATGGCTTGGTCAGGTGAAATGTTCCGTTTTGGGTTGACAGCATTGTGGAATTCATCTGAAAATGTGTGTGGACTCACGGATGGAAGAAAACATACGCTATGATCTCCTCGCTGTACGGAGCACACGCTAGCACTATTGATGCTTACAATTCCTAGAAAGCACAGTTTAGGAGTCAAGAAACTTTCATGATAATTTCAGAAAAGAGACTTTAAGTCTGTTTGCCTAATTTCTGTATTGTTGTCCACAGGATTTCTATGAAGGTATCTTGAAAGTGCTTGGAGAAGAGGATGAAAACGAACAGGAAGAAGTTAAACTCAAGCAGGCCTTAAGTGAACTCCCTGAAATCTATGAACTACACCAAGACATCCTGGAAGAACTGGAAGAAAGAGTCCTTAAATGGTGAGTATGGAATGGCATGGTTCGGTGGCCTTAACGTACCCTCCACAGCGGGTGGGTGAACCCATCAGCGCTGCCCCAACCCCGCCAGCAAGGAGGCTGGGATCCGGCAGAGGGGAAGGGAGCAGTATCTCAGCTGCTGTGGCAGGTTTTGTGTACAGGCGGGAAGGAAGCACATGTAGAGGCTGTCAGGGTAAGAGACAAGGGACTGAAACATCTGCGGGGCGCACAGCCCGTGACTCCGAAATGGCACCGTCAGTCAGCGTGGGGACAGCTTGCTCCACACACATTATCTCCGATGCCGGCCCATCGCCATCACCAAGCGGCTTCATGCTCACAGCCTGAAGGTCACAGACTCGTGCCACGGGAGGCAGGAACAGCAGACATCAGAACTGATCCTAAAGAAGATCAGCTGCTTACAACCAGACACCCCCTCGCTCCCCAGCAGGGCTCTGCGCAGGCCAGGCTTCCGAGCCAGAGACCGCCAGCCCTCTGAGGGACTGCACCTAAGCCAAACATCCGCACAGGGCAAAGCCTTTCCATGGGAGAACAAGACCATGCCCAGGACAGACAAAGCTCCCAAATTCATCCAGTTCAGGAGACCTCTGACTCAAACCAGGCTGCCAGGCCCTAGTCTGCCAAACTGCTGGAATAAGGACGCTTAGGAGAAGTGGCCTCTGCAGAATCAAGCTGACTAAACCTACAGCCCCCAGTGCAGCCCCTGGCTGGGACCAGGCCCCTCCGGCTCTGATGGCTGATGACGACCATGCAGCCCACACCTCCACCCTGCTGGGCTGCAGGAGGCCGTGGTCACTGCCAGGGGCTGATCCTCTCCCAGCACTGGCACAGAACAGTTAAGGAAGTCAATTAGATCAGGAGAATTTTTCAGTAACAATCCTAAATGCAGGACGCAGCTCTCCTTGTCAGCCCTGCACTTTCAAGTCAAAGCACACAACAAGGAAAGAAAAGGCTAAAGGGAACTGTACAGTGATCCACATCCACCAAGGGACTGTTAGAAATGACAGAAAGACTTAAAAAATTTCATCAATTATTTATGATGTATATGCTCAAAACACATCCAGAAGCGGTGCTTCCAGCTGGGATCTGAAATGGTTTGTTGTGTTCTAAAGAAGTCACAGCCCTCCTCCAGCAGCATGCTGCCTGTTCCCCAAGACTAAAGGGACACACCTGGAAATGCCCTAAGACTCTGTCCAGAACTACTCTGGGGCACTGGGGAAAAAAGAGGGCTGTCCTGCAAATGCAGACAACACAAGAGAATGACACATGGCATAGGGCTATGCTCGTACAGGTTCCCAGGGCACCACCCCCCTTGAACCTTCCAGTGAGTCCTGCCCTGTGCCTGCGCTCCCCCGCCACTGCTGCTCTGATATTCCCAGGAGCTGGTGTTCCTCTCTTAACTGTGACTACTCTTGCAGTCTCAGATTTTGTCCTGTTCTCTCCTTGTACATGCTTTATATATGTTTCAATACTGTGCAACTGGGTTCTGAGAAGGGGGCAACGAAGCAGAGCTGACAATACGATATTGCAACTGGAGACGTTATATTATCCCCCACAACCACTGCTAGATGCACTGCAGCAGCTGGAAGGTCTGTTTAGAGAAGCGGAAGCTGTGTCCACAAAGGAGACATTCCACCCACTAGGGACACCCAGCGCCACCATGGCAAAGGCAGAGCCGAAGGATAAGCCCCTCATGGTGTCCATTGCACAGCAGCAGTTTTGTTGTCCAGTATGTCAGTGAAGCACTCCTTCTTCCTTGCAATGCAACCTAGGCTTTAGAATTGTAGAATCGTAGAATCATTAAGGTTGGAAAAGACCTTAGCTGCACAATGTCCTTAGCCACTGTAGCTCTAGTACAATGAGAAGGAAGTATGGCTCTTCTTTAATATTTATTTATTTATTTATTTGCTGCTTTTCTTTCTGCGGCCGTAGGGAGGAACACCAGAAAGTTGCTGATGTTTTCCTCTCCAGAAAATCAAGGCTGAATCACCATACAGCATACATTATGCAGTTTGATAGGAATTTGGCTTTGCTAGATGAAACCTGCCTTAAATATTCCCAACTGGCCACCGTAATTCAGGAGTTTGAGGTAAGGCTCCCATGGTTTTTTTACCTGCACTAATGCATGGTTGTGCCACAGGGCTTACTCAAAGATATTTTTTCTGCAACTCCACCAGTGCCCACACAGGGCAGAATGGAAGCATAGCTCTCTTCACACATCCTTGTGCTGAGATGTTCACGTGTGCACGATATGTTTCTGTTTCTGTGTCTGTTGCCCACGCACCCCTGTGAGTGCATAAAGAATGTATGTTGGTGAATCTACAGATCTGTGAGTATATTTTGCTGAAATATATGCACACAGTAGAACAGTTTCTCGTTCACATATTAACTTCTCAAGCTCTTTCAGGATGTGTTAGAGCTAATAACTGTTATTATTACCATCTCTGCATATCTTCTCTTCTTGCACTGCATTTTCCATCCTTTCTTTTGTACGGGGTCTGGCCAGGACGAAGCTGGGGTTGGCCTGCCTAGGTGTTTACCTGCTGGCAGCAATCAACCCACATCTTCACAACTGCATTTCTCAGCATTTTTAAATGCCTGTTAACAGCTTCCTCTGCTTACAAAGGCTGTTGTGACAGGCAACACTGAACAGCACAGTAAGACACAAACTCCGCTGGCCAGACACAGAGAGGGTTCTTTTCACCTGAACTCCCTGAATGGTCCGTAACCTCTAGGCCTGTAACTTCTGGCCCTGCAGCAAGAAATGTGTTTTCCAGTTGTGTTAACTCAGTCATCCGTGCTGAATAACCCCATCAAGATACATGTGACAGGAGTTCCAGGATTCCTGATTACATTTAAAGTGGTCACTTCACATAATTTCAAAAGCATAAACCCATATGTGGATGGGAAAGCTCAGTTTGGCTACACTGACTATTGAGCTAAAAGGGTTAAAAGCTATGTTACTTTATTGTGGGTCTAGAACATCCATTCCTTATTATCTTTATCTGGTAAGAGAAATAACAATATTTACTTGGGTGGCTGAGGGGCTGTAAGGATAAATTAGTGATTGGACCTTAAAGGTTATTTAGAATGCCAGCTCTATGGAGTAAGGATTGGGTTTTTCTCTGCAGCACATGTGAAATATTCAGGATAACAATTAATTTCAAAAGACATTTGGAAGTCAGCATTTACAAGCAGATACCTTGCAGAGAGATGGTTTGCTGTACTTTGCTCAAGTCCATGTCTTGAAATAAGATACTAAAAAGTTGCAGGCAGAAGAAAGTTTCAGTCCAAAAAAGGAACAACGATGACAAGCTTCACTGAAATCTGACACATCTGTCTTCAGATGTCACCCTAAAATCTTTATCCAACCTTTACCTGCTAAGTAGTATTCGCTTTCCTCCCTTTTCCCTCTGAGTCCAAACTACTTGTAAACGATGCCATAGGAAATAAACTGTGTATAGGACTTCTTTATAGTCACAAAGACAATACCCCCTAGCAAGCTAGGTAAACTGGGAATGGTTAAATGGAATTTATGTGTGCAACTGGTCGCAGACTTTCATAGTACACACTGGATAGAGCCGAAAGTTTGCTGCTGAGCTCACACATCCCTGATCTTTGTGTTTCCTTTCCCTTCCACCGAGGACAGCAGAGCTCTGGTGGCAGCCCTCAGAGTGTGAAACACCAGCTTTTGAAAGTGGTGCAGCGTGTCTTCCAGTATCGTGTGCTGCTCACAGGTCAGTAAAAATCACTCTCAAATGCTCCCACACTGTTCTGGGCCTCCACTGTACCGCACATTGGTGACAAGGAGCAAAAACAGGGCTGAAGCAGTGTGGGATTTCCTGGGAATTTCAATATGCTTCGTACAGGATCCAGGAAATGTCAGGGAGCTAGGAACGAGCAGGCACCTCTTCAGCCCGACCATGCTGAAAGGTCACAAAAAAGTGTAACATCAGGTGCTTTTAGCTATTCCTTCTTGTTTTTTTTCCTTCTGTGAATTAGGAGAGGCAGAGTTCAGCCTCACTGCCAGCAAACAGGTTTGATTTTATTTATGCCAAGGGCAATTATCAGAGACAGTAGGGGACAGGAGTTCCAATACAGGGACTCTGCGTCACATCCTGTATGACAGTGGCAAGCACCATCTTCTTCTACTCCATCAACAAAGCAGCTGTACCCAGTATTGCACCCTAAGCCCTACGTACAGCACGCCTAAGGCTAGTGATAAGTCAAAATCCCAGACCAATTTCTCTGCATTGCAGGAGGCAGAGTCCAAATTTACATTAACAATGCATTTACAGATTTTACATGTACAGTAACACCTCCCCTTTACATTCAGGACCATATATATCCCTCCCACCTGGAATGTCTCCCAGGGGGTTGTATTCCCTCTGGTGGGTCATTCTCTGCAAGCCACAGCAAATCTAGGAAGCCTGAGCCTGCGAGGGGAGCAAGCTTTCTGGAGCAGGATGTGGCCCCTAGGAAGAATAATGAAGTTTAAGTCTGTAACTAATGAACTGGTTGGGGAAGCAAATGGTGAAATGTAACAATGAATCTCAGCCTTGCCACTAATTTAGTCAGATCTGAACACAAAGGAGCAGGGATCCATAGGCATATGATGGAGAAGTGCTTCAGGGGATGTATATGTATGGGTGGAGAGGTATGCACGGTAAAAAGAAAGACTTAAACCCCACCCATAGTCAACAGCCAACAAAGGGCACAGAATATTAGAAGGGACTCTTATAAATGCAGCAGAACAAAGTGACCATATGAAATTTTTATTCACAGCACAGATTAGCAATAGTTTCATCTTGCTCCAGACACTTTGATCGAGGATGCAACTCATTTTTCACAGCTGGTTTTGCTTTTTCAGTACGAGCAACACAAATGAACAGCGGACGCCAACAGGAGGCCTTTTTTTCTGTCTGACTTGCTTCCCTCTCTGGGTGTGTCTACATTAAGGGCAACTTTCCGACTTAGTGGTCTCACACGATCCTGATGGTGTTTTTAGTGCGTGCACACAAATACTACACCTACAGGGACTTGGCAAGTTCCTGTCAAAAATACCCCCACTAGGCTCTATTTTCTCTGCCCATTTCTGTGGTCCACAAGGTAAATTACAAACTTGAAGCATGGTATTTTGTGAGAGGGTTGGAAGGGTTTCAGTGCAGCTCCAGTGACTGGATTCCGTTTATGCTTGAAGCAGCTTGAGCTCCTCCTAGTCCCACATATGGGCACTAACTGGAAAAATTAAAGCTTTTGTGTGTAGTGACATAAAGTCTGCTGGATTAAGATATTCCAGAAAGGAGGCTTACTGCTTCAGTTCTTCACCTCAAGAAACCAAACCCCTCTTTGCCTGGTAGGACAGAGTGGGTCTGAAACAGCACAGTCCTTCAGGTTCTCTAGACAGTGTAAAAAAAAATTAAAATATGCAGGTGTACTTGTGTGTTCATAACTGGCTGTTTCTACCAGATAAGGAAGGGTGTTTTATGAGGATATTGGTTGCCAATTACTGCACCACAGCCAAAAGGAGTTGCCCACTCGGTTAAATGTCTATAGCCAAGGACAGAGGTTCCAGCTGTGAAAAAGAATATTGCTTGATAACACGGCACAACTGTTCCTGCCTGACTGAGTACAGGTAGATGCTTTCCCAAATGCATGTAAAAGCCAGGTAGATCTCAGGACACCAGGGAGGGCGCACTAGAAATATAAATATACATGGATAAGACATTCAAAGGAATGGATATCCATTCACAGCACAGAGGCCTAGACCTTTGATGCAGAATTTAACAGCTTGGGTTCATCAGAAAGACAAGGATGAAGTATTTCAGGATTAGGCTTTTGAAATGGTGGCACCCGTATACTACAGTCACTAAACGCATTAAGACCCAGACAAGGAACAGACAGATGCTCCAAGGCAAGTAGTCCAAATAAAACTGACAGGTTAACGGTTTGTATATAATGCAAATGTACTTCCCCTAAATGTAAGTCCTATTGTGTGTATTTTACAGAACCTATTTTCAGAATGTGACTGAGTTCAGTAATCACTGAACTCTGCATGTACAGAACCAGAGTCTCCTTCCCGTGTCTACAAAATGCATTTACTATAAATATAGAACATCAGTCATTACAGCCAACACCATTCATTCAGATGGGAAAATAGAATTCATTAGAAGAGCAATTATTTGTTAAGTGGTAATAAAGTGTAACTGCTACTCAGCAACTCTCTTGGCTGAGAAGTGTGGAAATATTTTTGTCACTCTGTTTATTCATTTATACCTGCCAAATTATGTGATGAGTCCAAAACTTTATCAATGCTCTTGCATTCATTCTCAAACTAGAATGCAGTAAAAAATGAGTTTTGCTTTGTAGAGAGGCTATACACACTTACTTGGGAATAGAGTTACTTGGGACATTACTGTGGATGCCCCATCCCTGGAAGTGTTCAAGGTCAAGTTGGACAGGGCTTTCAGCAACCTGGGCTAGTGGAAGATGTCCATGGCAGGGGAGTTGGATTAGATGATCTTTAAGGTTCCTTCCAACCCAAACCATTCTATGATTAGGATTTTATGTTTTAGCTAATAACATTACAAACTATGTGGATCTGTATTCTGATTACTGGATATCTGTGTCTGTTTGATTATTTTCTACAGATTACTTGAATAATCTTTGCCCTGATTCTACAGAGTATGAAGCCACACAAGGTAAAATGAAATGGGCAGAACAAAAATTCTGCTCTTCTAACTCCGCTTCTAAAGAGGCTATGCTGGTAGCATATGGAAGAGGATTATTTTCAAGATTCTGTGTTAATAGGTTAGATGTAAGAACTGATTACTAATTTAGACACATTATTTCTGGCCAGCGATGGCTAGCGTGCTCCCAGATTACACCCAGAAATGGATAGGATGCCCTGTTACACAGAGAAAGAGATTTGAGATAACGAATGGAGCCATGTTACACCACTGCTCTCAGGGCCAGCAAACATGCTCTGGCCCACGTTATTTGCCAGTGGAGAATCTAGGTGTTAATTCATGTCACCACTTCATACACAGTTCTGTCAGAAAGGGATGACCTGTCCTCTCCCTCGGCAGCAAGGGAAAATGGATCACCCTAGATTGCCATGCTTTTGGATGGCCCAAGCTGGCTTACATTCATCTCTCCCTGCCACAAGCTCCAATTGCCAAAAATCTGCAACTAGAAAATATCACAAAAAGAGTTTGTGCCATGCTAGGTGCTTAAAAGGGACCTCATGACCTCTCTTGGTCAGCACAAGTACGATGCAGAGTTTTGCACGAGGGAATGATGAAGGGAAGGGCAATGGACAGCACTGTGCCATGTCTTCAGTTTGCGGAGCAGTTGCCTTCTGAAGGTGCCAAAGAAGTTAAAGGAGCTGCTGATGGGGATGTTGTTTGCTTTTTTTTTAAAAAAAAAAAAAATATGCCCTTACAAACAGAAAGGATTGGAGTTATTTTCCTACTTTTTTATGTGATTTATGATGTTTGTTTTGTTTCATCCCTCAGCTGCCTTATTCATTGTTTCTGAAATCACCGACCGAGCCAATGACAGCATGCTCCAAGCGGTGAGTCTTACCATGACACATGCTCTCCTGATTGATAGTGTATATTCTGCACATCTGTTGAAGTGAATACATATCTCTGCTAAATTCTGAAGCCTCCTCCAGGGTGAGACTCCAGGGCTTATACAGGTCTGGTTTACAGTATTGCAGATGTGGAGCAGGTCTGTGCCCTTTAGTGCAGCTGTGCAAGATGCAAGGCACCGCAGCAAGCAGCACAAAGGTTTTTTCCCTCTTGGGGTTGCTGAAATGGTATGTGGAGCAATGAAGTGAGAGATGAGAATTTTCCTGGTTCCATTGCTAGCCAGGGATGTTTTTCGATATGAAATGTTGAAGACATCACAAATGAGCTGTCAAAGATACATTCTGAGCTCATTTACATATTTTTTCCACAATTCTGGAATCCCATTTTACTTCAGAAGAATAGGTCATGGTTTATAACCTTGCAAATGATCGCTGGCAAAGACTTTTATAGGTTAGAGCTCATGTCTAAATTCAGATTTAGGTATCTAAATAAGCTATATAGTTTTCCAAAGTAATGAACAGTTTCTGTAAGGACAGTGTAATTTATTATTATCACTGACGTGATATCAGAGTCCTAATTTACTGGCATAGATAGCCTGCATATAGCTGGTCTTACGATCATTCGTTTCCAAGGATTGAGGTCCAATGTTCATCTTAAGATGATTGGAGTTTTCCACGGACATCAGTAAGAAGCAGTGTTGAGAGGCACAGGAGGTAGCAGAGAGACTGTCAGACACAGGATCCAGCAGGTTCCAGAGGAATTCAACTGGGTGGACCTCTGGGTGGTAACTAAAGGCAGTGCCTTTCTTTTTGTCATGCTAGCCACACACACCTGCAGCTCAATTCTCTCCGGAGGTCCATGTTTCCTTTAGCTGCACAGACGTAGCGTTCAGCTCAAGCAGTTAGAAAGAAGTGCCTACAGCCTTCACAGTCTGATGAAATGTTGCTCAGTAAGTCTGTAGTTTCAGAGTCATTCTGTAGAGTGGTCAGACTACATTTTGTTTTATGATAAAACTCTAAGCTTGTTAGACCTAGAAAATAGTCATATTACTGCCCAAAATTTTTTTAAAAAAATGCCATTTTTAAGCACTTCTTTTCAAGGCATTTAGATTACCAAGGAGTAGGTGCAGTTGCTAAGGAAGAGGTTGACTATTATGTACTATGCATTCAACAGCACCCATGTTAGAGAACAAAGCACCTCATTCCAGGCATTTTGCATTTCATCCAGTCGTGAGTGGTTACACTGAAGTGTTTCTTTCTCAAAAGGTGTCTCATCTTAAGTGTTTTATCATTGCATTGGGTCACAAGGATTTCAAGTGATCATATCATATATTATTTTTTTTTGGGAAGCTTTCACATTTTACTTCTCCTTTGAACATTGCTGAATTTAACATCCTGCATTGGGATTTTGCTGTGCCTTTGTTAAATTAAAGATCTCTTTGGCATTGCAAACATCCTTCCCTATGGTTAATTATAGATGACATTCAATTCACTTCTTTATTATTTCATTTACTGAGCCAAGAGAGGATTGTTAATAATCACTCAGGCATCAAAAGATGAAATTCAAGAGACAAAACCACCTGGGTATCAATGCAGACAAAGGGAAGAAACGAAGTATCAACCCTTCTTAGTAAGAGCTTGTTTTCAGGTAGGATTTTAAGGTTGAAAGAATGAATGCACAGGAATTGTTAGGGATAGAGGCCACTACCTATGCGCAGCACTGCTGACTCGGCGTATTCCCTTTAACATCTTTCCTCTCTGGCTGCAGGGGAATGGAAGCACCAGGTGGGGCAGTGAATTCAGACTTGTGTGCTGTGGTAAAAACGCAGTAGGCCAACTAGATGAGGGATGGTTTTTGCAACAGCTTGGGAGGTAAAAATTAGTCTCAAAAATGAGGGTACCCTTCATCTATTAAAACTGAAGTTTTCATGCTTTGTTCTGAGAAGTGGAAGCATCAGCTTGCAGTAAATGAACCCAAGAGCCAAGAAGGTCAACTTTTGCTCCCATCTGGAAATCTCTGCTGCTCTGGTTTAAAAGCCATGTCTCTGATACGTGCGCCAAGGTCATAAATGGAGCCCATGTGTTCATGGGCTGTTCCAGAGCACCGAGCTCAGTGATGATATTTTCATGGCCAGCAACAGACAAAACCCAAGCCCTCTAGTACTTGTATCAGAAAGGGATAAGTGGTAGTTAAAACTACTTATGATTTCCTGAATAGAGAAACCTGCCTTCGTGGATCTGCCTCCTTCCCTGTCTGATAGCTGGAAATTGAGACTGAGGCTCTGAACCTGCTTCTCCTGAAGCCAAGGGCAAAATTACCACAGATCAACATGAAGTCCAACTGGTTTCTGGTCTTGTGCAGAGATGATCAGAAGCCACGACAACAAATCAAGATTTTGATCATTCTGAAGTTCAGGGTTTTTAAGGGCAAAACCCAAATTCAGATCTGCCTTTTCATTCAATGCAAACTTAAAAAAGCTTGGACCTATTGATTTGGTTTAAGTCCATTTCTGCTTTTCTGCTCCAGGCAGAAAACCCAGCCCCCAACCCCATCCTGGCACATCTACCTCAGAACACATTTCCCCTTTGTACAATAACACCAACCCATTTGCTGTCTTTATGTGGCTCTGTGACAACCCAAACCCTTCAATCCTTTATTTTAAAGACAGCACTTTTTCTGCTCCACTTGATTGCTAAGGAAAAGTTCCAAACATGAATCGTGTAAACAACGCAGCACGCTCTGCTTCAGCAAACAGACAGCCTGAACACCTTTCTGAGTGACAGCTAGCAGCCACGCTCATCTCTTTGGTCACTTACTCTCAGCTTTATTTAAGGATATGTTGGGTATCAGCACAAACTATTTTATCATCAGCCGTTACAGCAGACGGGATGGGGACAAAAGTTGGGACGGAAGTCTTTGTAGATGAAATGGTAGTTTCATTACAGCCAAACGTAATGGTGAAGAAGGAGAAGCAAAGAAGAGAGAAAGAAGTATGACACAAAAGCAAGATGCATGGAAACAATGATGTTCATACAGACTAATTGTGACTGATGTTCAGCATTGACAGCAATAAGCAGTAGTCAATTACTATATAAACACTATTCCCTTGCCAAGAGACAAAAGAACACATGTAGACGGGATGAAGGATGTGGTCTAGCAAGCCTAGGGTTTTATGATAAAAAGAAATGTAATCTGGCCCCTCCACAGAATGACTCTGAAACTACGGATTTACTGAGCAAAGTTTCCAACAGGTTTGATTCTGATTTTCTTTCTCCTCAGGCAAAGAATTTATAATCATACTTTTCCATTATCAAAGCATTCTTTGCATCAAAATAATACATATTGAATCATAAAACTGAGATCTCAGGAAAAGCTTCCACAGTAATCTCAGAGCTTTAGGGATGCCTGTATTAGAGGTTGAGAACTGTAAGAGCTCAGTTCCTAACAGATCAAGGTCACACATCTTTTTCTGGCACCTCTGCTTCCTTAGATTTCACTCAGATTTATGGGAGATTTGTATGAATACTCTTCTGAAGTTAGAAGTATAGATAAGTGGCCAAAATCAAATTTGTTGTGCTGTATTACCATGAAATTATTTTATGTCCACTAAGCCATGCTTTAATTTGAAGAACATCACCATATATCATCTGAGTTTTACAGATGTCACAGACGGTATAATAATTGCTATTAATAATGTCTGTTTTGGAACAATTTCATTGCAAATTCCACATAGATTTTTACACTTAATTTTTTATCGTATCATCAGAACACAGATGCTCTTTTTCAAAACTGCAGCCTGGAAGAGATGAAACTAAATTTCCTTCTTTCCCATCTGTGTGAATGCTGTGGGTTTTGTGAAGGCGCAGGTTTATGAGAATCAAAGTTCACTAAACTGCTAAATCAGAGGTTGTCCTCTGCAATTAATATCCCATCCACAAAAGCCACAACCAGAAGTTCTTTTCTTTCTCTCAGATTTTTAAAAATGCAAAGAATTTAAGAAGTTCCTCTAATTACAGAACAGACCGAACAATGCCACTCAAGGTAGAGCGTTAATAACTTGTTCTGTACCTGGTTGAAGTCCTAAGCGATAATTTAGACTTGGCATGTACCTGGAAGGAGGATTATTCCTGCTGCCGCTTATCAACTATCAAACTACACTCCAAAAATCTGACAGGAGCATTGAATTACGATCTGCGTTTTGTGCAGAATATCAACGATTCACTATTAGCTTTTTTGTTTTATGATAATAACACTCTAGCAGTTTTTCCCTGGGAACTATTAACCCAGGATTTTCAGACACATTATGATATTAACTGTCTCCACAGCATCTTCACCAGGTAGGAAAATATTATTCACAATTTACAGATGTGCAAACAGAGGCATAAGGCATACCATGACTGCACAGCATTAAGTCTATCTGTAACTCTAGGAGACATTTACTGCTTGAACTAAGCAGGGTCTGTATTGCTCTCTGAACTTCTACAATCTGTTAGAGGTGCTCAGATGCTGAGAGCTATAAACCACTGTTGCCATTAAGAGCTGGTCAATTCCACGGGGAGGTGTTCCTCCTCTATAGAGACAACGATAACATGATGGGAGCTGCAGTTCACTGCTAAAATGGCCAGAGAAGGATTTCAGCTGCCCACCCACAGCTGCAGTACTACTGGGTGGAGCTTCATCTCCATTTTTTAATCATAGCTTGTGAAGGATATTTGAAAGGAGAATGATGATAGTTTTAAGGAGAATGAAGAAAACTATAAAACCAGGGAATTTGAGGGGAAAAATATACCCCCCTCAGCTGCCCACATTCCCAGATAAATCACCGTCCTCCACATGCGACGGCTGTTAGACTTCCTACAGGAAATGAGCCTGATACCCCTCTGTCCATTTCCTGGTGAACATGTGTCCACACTGCAAACGTCAGCACTGCAACAGGCGCCTCTGCCAGCAGTCCTAAGGAAAGCTGAGGTGTATCTGAGCTGCAGCAACTGCTTGTCTCACTCTTGCAGAAACTGCTATAAGTAGTACTAGCCTTGGCCACGAGTGTGCTCACAGGAGGGCACTGCCTTTTCTGCAGATGAAGAACAGGTTTCCATTGTGGAAGCTGTCAATTTGACAAGCTTTGCTAGGGCTAAAATACCCTTTAGTGATGGGAAAGTCCTCTGCAAATGGCTTTTGCAAATGTCAGCTGTCCCATGATCCCTGGTATTTCCTGTGCTACTAGTTTGTACATTCTGTTTCCATTTTGCTGGCCTACAGTATTTTAGAAGTGACCTGAAAAATTCCATTTGTTACTTCCTGCATTGCAAAAGAGATACTTGACGGCTGAAATTCTTGAAAATGTGTCAACTGCCAGTTATATTGTATGGTCACAATGCAGCCCCGTGCTGGTCAAGTTTGTAGGTGTTTCCATATGTTTGATGTGCAGTTACTGATGAAGAACTTAGTATCATGCTAAACAAGTAATATTTCACCAGGGCAGTAACATATGGAGGTACTTCAGGCTTATCTCAAAAAGCAAGCTGAGATAGGTACATTAACTGTGTTAGCTGAAATCCATGTTAAATTAGCCTTGACAGACCATCATGTTGACATGGCTATGCTCCTCCTGGTATCTGTGATAGCTTTCTTAATTGTCTGATTCTGCAGACAGCACTGATTTGTATCAGGCAGATACACTGTACGATCTAATCAAGTCTAACTAAGCCCAGAGGTATCTTAATGCCAGTCAATGGAGCATAGGAAAACAGAACATTATCTGTCATAGCACAAAACTGTCGTCAAAGGCTGCCAGGAGGACTTGGGATACAATGCGTAACTTAGACGAAAGACTCGTAAATTTTAGAAATATTCCAGTGATGTCTCATTACTACTGTGCAGCCTATTCTTGTTCTGACCAGATAAAACCATGGCTGAATAATATGTACAAGCCTTGCTTTTATCAGCCTCACCTGCTAAATGGAAGGATATTTGAAAAGACTCTAGCAATACTGCAAAGGTACAGACATCCCTCCTTCCTCTTTTGTATATTCATCTAATACCATCTTTTTTTTTTTCTTTTTTTTTTTGTGAGAGCACAGGCATAGCTAATCTTATTTACCATCTTCATAGACAAGTTCATGCCACATGCCAGTGCCCACTGAGGCCAGGTAGGCAGTTAATAGCATTAGAGTTTACAATGAACTTCCTGATTTTTGCAAAGCATCAAAAGAGAGATGCAGCTTCATTGCCTGCTTACGAGTTAACCTTCTAAATCTCCTGGTGCAAAGCCACTTATCTGTTATCACAGATTATACACCTCCAGACAATCCTAGTGACTTACGGTACCAAAGCATGCTTTGGGTTATCTGTGTCAGGCCACTGCACAGGTCTTCGGAGCAGACACTGTGCTTTGTTTACAGTTTATTAGTTCCCACAGCAAGAAAGTCAGCAAAGAGGACAACGTATAAATACTAGAGGGAGTTAGCAGGCCCTTTTGAAGGTGAACTGACGTCTCAGAGGTCTGTAGAAGGACACAGAAGATATGAATGCAGGTGATGAGGTTTCATAAGACCTGTAGAGCTGGAAGACGACTTTCTGGGCGCAAGATCCCTGGGCTCAGTTCTCTCTGAAACCTAATTCTGTAATACCACTTTTAGAGAAATCAGATGGTGAGGAAGGGTGAGGGAAGGTTTGCCTGCTTGTCTAAAGAACAATGATGCCATGCAGTCTCCTAAATGCTGTTTCTTTCCCCCAGGAAAACTTGCAGAAGCTGGTGCACATTGAGCACAGCGTCAGAGGGCAGAGCAGCCTCCTCCAGCCAGGAAGGGTGAGTGCTGCGGGCAGACCTGCGCTGATAAGACATCTCTGATTGTGTGGATGGCCAGAGTTCAGACCTACAAGTGTTGTTTACTGAGCTACTGTGATAAGAGCTGGAGCACTGGTTTGTGTACAAAGCCATCACTCCGTCAGTGCCCAAAGAGATGTGCCCAGAGGCTCAGGCTGGGAAAGACGCGCATTGCTCCTGCACTTACACAGAGCAGCCAAGGGGACTGCTCGCTCCGGCTGCCCTCAGCCACCCCACTGGAGCGTGTTCCCATGGAGCTGCTGTTTCCCTCCCTAGACACTCCTGTTGAAAGGTTGCAACACTAGCAGGAATCGCTTGCAGCCTGGAAAGGCTCAGAGTTCTACTTGGCTGGGTAAGAGCCTTAAATCAGGGGAAGCATTTATTTTCAATTTTTTATTCTCACCATTCCCCAGTGGTGCTTTTAATGCAAGACATCATTTTTAAGCAACACATGAACAGAAATGTGGGAGAGTGTATAGCTGTGTCTTGCCATCCACATCGAATGCAAATTTCTTCTCCTGGCTTTCAAACACGTCAGTTTCCTCAACTCCAACATGCCTCTACACTTCAAAAGATTTCTTTCTTGAGTTCTGCAACTCTAAATTTCCCTTCAGTCCACCAACATCTCTAGCAAAACTCATGAAGCAATTTTCAAGGCATGCATAGTGGTAGCATAAGAATCCTCATCAGCCAAATACTGCAGTCAACCTGTATTTTTTCTTTAATATCAATATTTGCACTTGCCCTTGCCAAGTAACACTTTAACAAATTCTGCAAAGCCCAGCATACAGAATTTGCGGGATTGGTCTCTTTGATTATAAATTGTTCTGGAGTGGGAAACACCAGATTCTGTTCTCCATCCAAAAATAACACGACTGTTAATCCACTGGTGTAGTTCAGTTATTCTAGACCTATTGAAGTGTTATTGCAATCAAGTTCTAGTATGCTAGTTTAGCTGCTCACTTACATACACAGTCCTATCTACATACACAGTAACAGCACGGACCAAGAAAGTATTGTGTTTGCAAACACGTACAGATTATGTACACAGGCATAGTTACGTGGATGTAGCGTGACAAGGTTTCAGCTTTTCTTTTTATGTGTCTATTGTAGAGGATTTTTTATGACAAGAGTTCTTTTCTGAAGCCCATCGCATGTTAGCTTTGCAATCTGTGACAGTCACCACCGAGCACAGTCGCAGTGGGTTGAGGACAGGTGGGTTTCCAACCCATTTGGTACTGACACAGATGCAAGCCATGAAGAGCAGCAGGGCTCACCCAGGAAAAGACTAAGCCAGATCATAAGCAGTAAGGCTAAAAGCAAGTATTGAGGTATCTATCTCTTCCTGTGCTGATGAAAGCAGTTAGAGTAGCTCTTTCCCCAGGAGGAATATTCTCTTTTCTCAATAAGATTCAGAATGAGAAGTCACAGGATTACAACCTGCTGTTTTCTCCTTCAGATCTTTGTTAAAGAGGGAACGTTGATGAAAGTCTCTGGCAAAACCAGGCACCCTCGACATTTGTTCTTGGTAAGATTTCTTTTCCATTTTTACTGTCTCTCTGGTATCTTCTCCTGTACTTACGCAGCCCTGAACCCTGGCAGAAACTTCCAGGCTGCAAGGCTTTAACCATCAGCAGTGGTTGTAGCCCTTTTCACACGTCCCATTGGCCCTGCATACAGAAATACGGGCTGTGCAGCCCTCCGTCTGTACCACAGCTACGTACAGTCTTGACTAGCCCAGAATTCTGCAAAGGATTGCAAGTTTCCAAGGTGATCAGGATGATGGGAGCTCCCGAATACTTTCAGCAGTTAAGCTTCACACTTGAAAGTCTGACCCTAAGGCCTTAGGTCTCCTAAGGCCTGATTAGAAGCAACAGAGAACATCCTACTGCTAAAGTTTATGAAAGCTTTTTTTGGACTCACTTGGAAGAGATTTGTATCCTTGAGCTCAACAACTGGGTTTTAGTTCCCGCTGTCCACATCTCTGTAAATTACCTGATAACTGTGTGCATCGCCTCGGTATAGTCCCTCTGAACACACACCTCCAGCTTATAGCGCAACAGTTTTCAATTATGGTTTGCAAAATTCTGCTAAGATAGTTGAGAAAAATAAACCTTTCATCAGTTGGCTGGAATACCCTTCACAAGAGTCCACAACCCTACTGCAAAAATTGATGAAACAGATGAAAACCCACTGTTTTGGAGATATGCTATTAACACTCATGCATTTTGTTTTGCATTACGTGCTACACTGAGCAGTTAGAGAGTATCTGAGACTCCAGGCTCCTGAGCTCTGTTCTCAACTTTTCATGTAGCTTATTGTGTAACCACAGGCTTTTTACACATTTATTGGTATGAAGGGGAAAATCATACCTGCCTGTGTCTTAGGAGTTTGTTACCTGCTTACCTGTTAATGTTTGAAAAATTCTTTAGAACTCCTTCCCAGAAAAGAAACAAAAAGAACTGAGCACTACTGCTGCTATTAACATTAAAGTCCTGTTTGCAGATTTTTTTTTAAATAATTGTTTTATATGCCTGGAATATGTATTTGCTGCGACCTCTCTAACTGCTGACAACTTTTCACCCTGGGACCATTGTGAGGAGGGGAGATAGCTTATTACAGAAGTCATACGTTTTGCCACTAATTTTTATTTCTCCTTCTTATTAATATTTCCTAGTTGTGTGTGAGGGGATGCACAAGCTTCTTTGCCCCCTCGATCATGTACTGCAGTCATAAAGATCAGATGGGATGGGACACAATGCTGTCACTACACTTTTCTCATAGCTTCATTGGTTTCTGTGAAAATTCAGACTTTCATGTAGAGAAGGTGATGGGTTTCACCCAAATCTTCAAATATGGGGTTGCTGCAGTGCTGTTTTACTGAGTCAGCATCAATGAACTGTAACAACAAAAAATGTCAAAATCATGACTTTGTTACAGCCAAGGGGAAATGGCCATGCCAGAATCTCCAGGAGTGGGTCTTAAGAAACAGCATTCTCAGCAGTAGTAACTCTGAAGCCTACTGATGACAACTTCACAACAGATGATACTTGCTTCCTTACTGATCTCTCTTCTGAAACACTCACCTTTGCTAGTATTACAAGAACATTTTGGAGTTGTGGCTAAAGATGGGACCAAATTCCAAGAAGTTGTTACCATTTTGTCTTCGTGTGTTCGCAACTGCCATCATAATCCACTACTGTGGCAAACACTGAAGTGTCACAAACCTAGCTACTATAGCTGATATAGAGAATTTAAAAGGAAGATCAGAAATCAGTCTGGTAATAAACATTGAGAGGAAAGTAATTTAAACTTGGGATAAACTGAGAAAAAATTCAAGTAGTCCAAAATGGTTGCATCAGCTTGAAGGTCACAAGAAGCTGAAAGTATTACTGGAACAAAGAAAGCACAGAATGAGTTTCTGGCACTTTCTAGTATAGGAACTATTTTTGGTTCCTGGGGAGAGTTCAGCTGCTCAAACCCGGATGTTAACTGCAAAGAAAGAAGTGTCTCTTGGCAGCTGGAGACATTACAGTAGCCAATGTCCTATTGTTCATAGATGCTCTCAGTACTCGGAAACAGTGATTTTTTTCTTCCTTTCAGTCAGAAAGCCAAACTGTGACCAAACATGCTGTCATGCAAAGTATGTGGTGGAGCTAGACTAAACCATAGTGGTCACTTTGAAGAACCAAGAGCCACATAAAACTGGCTTCTTTCCTGCCTAACACACTAACGCTGCAACCACTTCAGGCTTCCTGTGTTACACCTCCCACTGGGGAGGCGGGGGAGGGATTTCATCTTGGAAACAGTTTTAAGCCTATTGGCAAATGAGGCAACTTCAGGCAAACTGCTTCTGGGGTCAGTGATTTTCTCACTCAGTCTCCTCTCCACTGAAAGCTCCTCGGTTGCAGAGCAATGCCACGTACGGTGCCACTGCAGGAAGGCAGGCACTGTGAAATACAGTAATTCCTGCAGTAACACCTGAATGGTTTTGCGTTATCTGCTTCTCGCTGCTAATGCTGTGGCTTCTCTGCTGTGCCACCACCACTCGCCTCCTCCACTCACGCATTGCTTCATGGACGGTTTAGCCCGTGGGTACACAAGACAAGTACTGCACAGCCCTGGCAACTCACTCTCACCGTGGCATACAGCCCCTTCACTGCACCAGTCCCAAGGCCCTGCCAGCCACCACTGCCAACACCTTTCTGTAACAGTCAGCGCCTGCACGAACATACCCTTCCTTCTGCCAGTGCACCTAGCCCAGCCCAAGTGCTGCCTTTGGTTCTGGTGCCTGGAGACACTGTGTGGAAAAACAAACCAACCCAAAACCACACAACCCCAAGACTAGAATAATCTCCTAAACACTGCCTCTTAAAACCCACATTTATTTAAAGCCCTTATCTTGTAAGGACCATACCATAATACTTTGAGGCTACTAGCAAAACTCAGGTAGGATAAGAAAAAGAAAACCTTTCAGAACTGGCTTTTTTTTTGATGCTTCACATGTCAGCTCCCACTCAAGATCACCAGAAGTTAACGTGTACAGGTGCAGTTTCATTTAGCTTTGGATGAAATACACGTATGTACCTCAGCTACCCCAAACAGATCTTTACATGAACAGAATTTTCTGAAGTTCTTAGTAGGGAGCTTACTCTGACTGAAGCTAAGTCAAGCCCAGGACCTGGAGAGAATTTCAGTGGAAAAGCATATACTGAAGGATAACCTTGAGAATTTAACCCCTACACATCCCAGGAGGTGAGCCCACCAAACTAAAGCACATTAGACCATGCTATAAAAAATGGGTGCGCGCCTAGCTCCCGCCTGGCCAGTGCATTCAGGGCGTGCTTTGGTGATGGGCGTGCTTGTGCTCTAACCCTCTGTGCGATGGTGTACGCCTGTGCACAGCCCACATCGGCACGGCTGTGTAGGACTCTCGGTCTGTGTATGTTTCTGTGGATGTATGTTGTGTTGAGCTGGCTGTTTTGTACAGGCTGATGGTATTGTTGAATCTGGTGTTTCCTGGCAGGATGTTTGGTGAGTTTTGCTGTGCACCTGTTTCCTGAGTCCAGTCTCTGTTTACAAGGACGTTGGGGCCTCTCTGCAGCATAGGGTGGGCTGCTGACACTGGCAGGACCCCTAACTGCCCCCCCCCAACCACAGGACTTTGCAACTCAGACACTGTCTCTTACCTCACCCTTCCAAGAATTTCTCTACAAAGGCTGCTTGTGTTGCAAGCAGGGTGCAGGAAGCTGCTATCAAATGGGAGACTGTTTAATGCTCTAGCTGGCAGAGATGGAGTAGAGGAGGTTTTGGAATCAGAGCTTGGAAAGCGCAGCCCAGCACACATTCAGGCTGCTCCGCTGACACTCAGGTGATGTGAACAGAACAACACGGGGTTCATAAGGAACAACCCTTTAAAACATTCAGAAAAAATCAAACACATGGTAGAAGCTTTCAGACAGAGAGTGCATTACATATGGATGCCAGCAGCTCAGCAGGGCATAGATAGACTTGTTTGGATCAATACCTTTGGACACTGGAGCTTAGGAAACTTGCATTGACGTCTAATGTTACTGGGTTCCCATCACAACAGAGGAGATCATAAAAAGGCGGGGGGGGAGAAGAGAAGTAGTAACAGAGAAAAAGAAAATTGAAGAGCAGACATCCACTTTATCTGTGTTATCAGTGTGTGTTCTCAGGACTAGGTGTGTGCACAGAGCAGTCAGAATAGATCAATACCCACGCAGTCTGGGGATCCCAGTTATTCGGAAGTTTTCTGGCACAGAGGAAGTGTGTCTGAAAGCCCAGGAACTCCTGGGAAATCCCCTGGGGGTTGTGGCACTCATCTCTTTACCACAGATGCCTGAGGGGCTGCAAGGTCAGCATTGACCACAGCCCAGTCCTCACTGCTTGCACAGGAGGGTTCTCTGTCCACACCACCCGGAGAGCCACCGCTCACGTCTCCAGTGCGGATGTGCCAACGGAGACAGCAGCCAGTGCAATCCTTTCCTTCTTCAGGAAAACGTGTGCCTTACTTAGCAAGTTCTGAAATATTTGTCACAATGTCACTGTGCCAAGCTGTGGCTGGTGGGACCTGAGAGTCACAGCCCGCTGCTATACACTGTGGGGGAGAGAAACAGAAGAAGGAAAAAAAACTGCCGTGGGCAATTATGAAAAAAAGTGTGCTGGTTTCAGCTGGGCTGTCATCATTAATGTTTAATAAAATCCTGGGAAGAGCTGTCATCACAACAGTACACACCAGGGTGTCATCCTTAATCGAGACTAATAAAAGAATGAGCGGCTTTTTAAAGAAATACATAACTTTCTAAATAAAATAAATAGGGTTTGCTGTTCAAGAAACCCAGTGGCACATTACACCAGAATCCTGAAAATCTTTTAGGAGTTCGCTTCCTTGGTCTTAGTGCCCATAACAGTTACCTTTCCTTGTGGTTTGAAACAAGCCTTGAGTACCGGCACTGATGAGTGGCAGAGGAAGTCCTGGTTCTTATATAATCCTCTGAACATTCACGAGATAGCAGAATCACCAGACAAATATGAGATTTCACTAATATTCTCTTATTTCATAGAATATTCTCTTAATGCTAGCAATAAAGTCTGCCTGCCTTTTTACCTTTTTCCCTCCTGGCTGCTGGAGTCCTAGTTGCTACTAGTAATATCAAGTGAAAAAAAGCTTTCGTCTATTTTTCACGGAAATATTTACATTTGCTCAGTTCTTTCTACCTTAGCCTTCTAGATACTCAGTGTGCAGTAGGTTGTGATGAACCTTCTGGTAATGCATAGCCCTGGTTAAACTGGGAAACTTCATCTGGTCAGTACTGTGCAGGTGTCACTGTGTGGACTGGATTAACTTTAGCATAGAGGGTAATTTATGGAGCAATAAATAAATCACAGAAAAACTCTGTGACAACCCATTTGTCACCTTGTTCTAAGGAAATTCTATTGTGGTGTTGCAACAGAGAAAATACTCCCCTTTAGACAACAGAGGAGAGAACATGAGGCTCCTATTCTGACTTGACAGTATGCTTTTTTGTCCTTACTTAAGAAGTATTATGTTAAAAGAGCTTTCAACTCTGCATAAGTTAAGACTTACTAGAGGGACACACAGAAATACACAGTAGAGTGGCCAGTGCAGGAGGGCATGGGAGTCTTTATGTTAAAATTATAGAATTAAATGCTTCAGCATTTTCTACAAAAAATATTGGCTGCTCTGACTCTGTAAACTCAAATTTTGAAAAGTCGTAAAATGTGAAGTAAAAGTTTTGGGGAAGGTCACTCTTGAGTTTATTTTGCCTCATGTTAACGGGAATCTGCATTTTAAAGATGGGCATCTAATGCACATAAGCGTGATTTACTGTGAATCAAACAGCTGCTTAATGAACTGGTGTCCACGAGTGAACTCATGACCCTAATAAAGGCAACAACAGTTCTGTTGCTAAATCCAAGGTGATAAGGATTTAAACCCAGGAGTATTAATTCCACCTAATTTTTCTTTAACCATTGTTCCTGCTCTGTAAGAAAGATGAACTACGACCTTTTAAGAAAACATCCATAAGGCTCCACTTTCCATTTTTTTCAGGCAAGCAAATTAGTGAAAATTTTACACCAGCAGTTTTAGGTCATCCGGCAGTACTATCAAGACCCTAACAATTCCAGCCATACAGGATATATTATTTTATTGCCAAATCATTCTTTAGTTTCCTCCCTTCTTTTCTGTGCCTCTCTTTATCGCAGTTTTCCTTCCAAAATACAGTATTATTACCATCCAGTTGGCTATATTTAAATGTCTTTGTTACAGAGGAATCCAAGTTAAAGCTGGTTGCTGTCTACTTTTTAATTTCTTGAGAATTTCTGCATTTAAGATCTCCAGCACCACACAGTATTACCTATGCCTTGGTTTTATGTTGCCCTGCACATCTTTCTTCACAGCATCCCAGTACAGTAACCAAGGGGGTGACTGAGCTTATGCAGATGTGAGCGGTGTGGGGAAGACAAGAGACCATGACCTGCTCGTTCAAGCAAAGCAGCGAATGCATGCACACGAGCGTTGCGTTGGCAGGGCTCAGGCCCACCTGATACTGCTATTCCTTCTAGTAGCAAGGGAAGAGAGGACAGCAAAGATGTACAAGATCCAGTTTCATTTATTGTTTGTTTGCACAAAGGTAGAAGGCTGCAATGATGTCTATGATTAAGTCAGGCTAGCAGCAGAGAAGATCTGGTCCCATTTAGTGGGAAGCTGTTTGAAAAACATGCATTCTTCAAGGAGCTGTGAGAACTAGGGATATATTTGGGTCGTTGAGGTACAGATTTTTTTTCATCACAAAATTTAATAAGTTTCTAATTTGTGCCCTTTCATGGTCTCAGCTGCATCCCACAGTCTTGGCAAAGCTGCCAGGTGCCTAGGCAAGTTTTACGAGCAGTGAAGCACAGTTACTGCTCTCAGATATCCAAACCATTTCTCCTGGAATCATTCCAGACCATGGCACCGCTCCTCACCTCCACTTCCTTTTTTGCCTAGAAAATGGCAGTCGGTGAAGCCCAGCCCCAGCCCTGGCGTCCCCGCAGCTCCGCTGTCAGAGCGGCAGCGTCCTGGGCAGTGCGCTGGTACTGCCGGGCGGTCAGTGCAGAGCCTGCCTTCCCACCTTGAACACCCACTGCCCTTACAACAAGCAGCTGTTTCTCTCAAGATGAATAAAAACCAGCTTGGCCATTAGCAACAGTCAAAAACGGGAAGGAATCAAAGTCCTCGACGCAGACTCCCCCGAGTTTTGTGGAAACACAAGCCTTGACCTAAGCTGTGTGGCCCCAGCCTGTCTTTAGTCCTAGCAGCCCATCCAGTTACTGCTTCTTCTGGGTATCGCCCCCAGGGAGGGATGGGCGGGTCTGCAAGCCATATTGCAAATTACTGATTTTGTCTTTCTCTTCATGTAGATGAATGATGTTCTGCTGTACACATACCCCCAGAAGGATGGCAAATACAGACTGAAAAACACCTTGGCTGTGTCAGGCATGAAGGTAATGCCTCATCTGTATTACAGTCTGGAATTAAAGTTGCATAGTGGGCTGTTAGTGCTTTGCTGGTTTATGTTTCACATCCAGCAAGGGGAAAGAGGGGATGGACCTGTTATCAGGGGATTCCCTTGCCTGTTACAGTAGAGAGAAGGAAAAATAATATAAAACAAACACACAAAAGATTGTCTATAAGGCTGTGACTTAGTATGACAGCCTTATTCAGGCTGCATAAATAATACAAGCAAAAATCAGATTTACCATTTGATCATGAAACTGGAGACAGAGAAGATTTGTTATCCCATTTTGTGCATTCCTCTCATCATGTCTCCAGCCAATGCATGGTTATTCCCCACAAAATAGTCACTAGGGCTTAGTCTGCCTGGTTTTAAACTCCTTCCACTCAAAATTTACATTAAAGCTTTCATTTGCCTGGTTTTCACATGCCCTTGAACTGTTTTCATCAAAAGCATTAATGGGTTGAAAAAGCGATTAGCCAATTTATGGGGGAAAGGTGTATTGGGAGCTATTACATACAATGATATAAATATAGTCTGTTCTTCAGTGAATTTCTAAACTCCAAATTACAGAAATTGGACACAATTGTCCTGTTCTTACACTCCTTCCCTAAGCATCCACTGGTATCAGTACCAGTACAACAGGAGATATTGGGCTGGAGGGGTCTTTGCTTCCTACCTAGCCATTCATTACATACCTCCTGCCAGAACCTTCCTAACTGTTCTGTAGCTAATATGCCAAGTTGTATTTGTGCAAAAAAGGACTAGGAAATATGCAAGATAAGAATTACTGACATTAATCCCAGCAGAATGACACAAGTGGGTTGAGGTGTTACGAAAAGGTGTGAAACTGATCACCCTAGAGACCTGATAGTCTAGAACCAACCATGGGTTCCCAGCTGGGGTAGGAAGCACCAAAACACTCTACTGTTAAAGTGAAAAGGACTGGCAGAGCAGGTACTTGTTGGGGTACATTTGAAACACTAAGTCACTAGCATAATAGATGCTTGTTAATAACAACATATCAGTACCATGAAGTTATGTTTCTCCTAAGTGGCAGTTGCCATTAGTAGGCAACTAATACACTACATAGCAGGGAAAATGTTTTAGCTCAGCTGTAGCTTTTGGTTTTTGTTTTGTTTTTTTTTTTTTTTTGCTCTTAAAGAGCCTTGCTGCAGACAGGCGTTCACTGAACTGAAGAGCTTCACCGTCTAATGTCTGCATATCAGGATGAAAGTTATTTCCATTCATTCTAAGAATAGCCAAAACTTTTGCCCAAAATGCTCTGACACTTGTCAGACTAAACATCTCCTAAGCTTGTCATACTAAACCTGAACCCTGACTGATACTTTATGCTTACCTTTATAGTTGGATTAAATGATTTTTTCGTTTAGCACCACCACCATATTGAAAGAGAGAACATTTCTCTTTACACCAGCAATACAAAAGACAGAAAACCCTACCTGCCCATCTCTTTGCATTGAAATATGAAACACATGGTTAGGACATCATAGATCCACATGCATTGAGTCTTACACGGTGTACTGGTTATAGATAGTTTAACTTATGTCCACATTCATGTTTCTAGGTCAGCCGCCCAGTGACAGAAAAAGCCCCAAACGTCCTGAAGATTGAATGTGGTGAATGTTGCCTGATCCTGTCAGCAAGGTACTGTCCCCAAACAGCCATGGCAGAGGGTGCTACATTCTAAAGCTGTATCTCTAGATTAGTCTAACCAATACTCAAGACCTAACCGGCGTCTCATTCTTTTTTAACTCCATTTCAGTCCGTGCTGTTGTAACAGACAATGGCTGAGTGCTTGATACACAAGGAAGATGTTAGTTGTAAACGTGAAGCTCATAAACTGTATCTAATTCAACTCGTACACTGAATAAAGATTAGAAGTAGGCTCTTGATAACATTTTAAAGAGAAAGGAAAGAGAACAAAGCCTGTTACTAAGAAGCCTGAGTCCTTTGCTTTATTTTTCATGATTTTTCCCCTGTGACACTAGGAGTATGTCATATCTCCCTTCTATAAGCTCAGTTGTTACCTCATACCACTAGGGCTGCAAAACTGGAGAAAATAGTCGTTAGGTAATACCATGCAATAGCTATAAAAGCATTTAATAGTGCTTAAATGACAAAGCCAAAGTTAAACCTTACTGGCAGCCTCATGGGTCTTTCTAATAAAGGGAATTTCACTCATGAGTTTGTGTAGTGCTAGCGCTGATTCCAACTGGGAGTCAGGATCTTTGTCCTGGGATCAGAAGCTAATGCCAGAAAGAGATTGCAGGTCAATTTCTGATCAGAAGATAGCAGCATACTGCATTTTTTCATGCTTTAGACCAAAATTATCCTGCAAATTTACCTACCGCTACAGCAGAAAGGTGGCTGGCTTGACTTTTTCCTACAAGAGACATAGCACACTAGCAGTGGTATTAAAATTAAGTCTTTGAAGTAACAAGGTCTTCAATGCTTTTAAGTACTGACTTTCCCACCATCAGCCTCCAACACTGCTTCCAGCACAGCTGGAAACACAGCAGACTTCCCTAAATTACACAGCACAACAGAAAGACAGTGAGGGCACTTTCTTATTCAAAACCAGAATTTGGAGCTCTGACCCTCCCCAGAGCACTTGCCATCTCTTGGCAGTGCTCAGAAACCTGTCAAAGCCATTTTGTCTATTTCCTTTCGTAACCAGCAAATGAGAAAATATCTGAGATTTTCTTAGAGCCGCACACTAATAGACACGCGACACTTCAGAATTACCTGTTGCCAGTCACAAAAGCAAGACGTGTACAGTCCTTCTGTATGTAGAGGGGAAATAACTGCTGCGGGTCCCCTTTACTCGAGGCAGCTAAGCTGGCATCCCGAGTGAGACTCCTGGGATGTTCTGCTTGCATTGTTACACTGCTTCTTTGCCTTTTGTACTCATACCAAGTCTGTGCTTAGTTAGCCCAAAGGAAGCAGGTGAGGCCCCTGCGAGCTGCATTTCCTCGGTAGCAGACAGCACCAGCGCCTGAGCCTAAGGCTGCCCTTCTGACAACAGCTGGACGGAGACCGACTCTTACCAGAGCACTGGGATAGAGCCCCTTTCCCTTGTGCTGCTCATAGCGGGACTGATCTGCCATAAGTCACCCAAGAATACTCCTTCCTCACCCTTTGTGTACCGGCTGGCAGAGCTGATGAGACACCAGTGCAGCACATGCCCTCCTAACCCCGCTGCACAACATCCTCAGCCTGCTGCACTCACCAGAAGGGTACCAGAAGCCTTCAGGCATCCCTAAAGACCGTACATTTTACTGCTCGCACAGAGGTGCTGCCGGTCTGCACTGAAGGGCAGTTGTGAACAATCACATCCCAAACCTCAACGCCTTTACACTTGTATGAGACAAGATGAACGCACTGAGCACCAGGGACTAACGGCAGTAGAACGATGATGACCAGAGCTCAGAAGTCAGCGTGGCTATATGAACAGACGGCACAGTAAAGTCCTTACATGCTGAAAATGGCTTGCTCAGCCAAAGAGGGGTATTATTGACTTGCAGTGAGCCGGTAACAGATCTGAGCACAGAGCCTTAACGGAGAAGGCTCACACTGCTCTTATACCTTTATCTGCATTTAAAAAATGTTCTTCTTGGACACAGGTAACCATGTGGTGCCCATATGAAACACCAGAGCACTGGGAGAATGCAGCCCTAACAGGCTAATTCAAAGTGACAGTGATAGCACTGTGACAAAATCCCATCCCAGTCCCGTTTCTGTGTTCCATGGATGTCCCCTCCTGTCCAGGAGACGGCAGTGACAATTTGACCCTCTTTCTATTTGCTTAAAGAAGAAGCCAACACAGATAACTGATAGCACAAAAGGTGCAGCCCCAAAAATCACACAAGGATCAGATGTGGTAATGGTGAATCAAGGTCTGAGCTTCTCTGAGCCTCAGAGGTTCAGCAAAAATTCCTCTGAGCCTTCATGCAACCAGTGAAATAGCTAATTAAGAATAGGCCAGTGCCAATTGACATAATTTATCTTACTCATCAGCAGACAGGTGTTATTCCCACATTTAGACACTAATAATTTGAGATTACTGCGTAGAGATGTTTAATGGAGCAGAGAAGAGGTTAAAGGGGATGATATCAGGTTTTTAACAGCAGATTGTCCCTCTTATCTATCTTTCCCAAAATGTCTTTAATTTACATCACATTTCATTTGTTTTTTTAAATCATAATTTAATTCTTAAGTGAGGAGAATTTCCAAGAAAGAATTAGCAAGAGAAAGGTTGAAGACAGCACTTCTTTTAGTGCTTTGCAGGCTGTGAACATGATTTGTCTGGAAGATACAGACGTCTTCAGATTTCTTAGAAAGTGTAATTTGATGGAACTTTTGGTAGTAATAAGGACTGACTAGTAGTGACTCTTGCCAGAGGTATCTCCTGTAACACAGCCCCTTCGCTGGAAGAGGTTAGCCTACATGCAGCAGAGACACTGGCTCAGAGTTTCTGCTCCCATTCCTGCACCAGGAATGTTCAATGTTACAGAGGCTGGTGTTTTTCAGACACGGGCTTACGCTCACAGTACAGAGGGATGCTAAGTCAGAGATCACTGATATAATCTGGCATTGCCTCTCTTTTTGTGCCTTTTTTTTTTCCCTTTAAGACCACAAAAGACAGATTGTTCTCAGATGTCTTGTCTGGTGGCCTTCGTGAGGACAGTGTGAGGAAATCGCAGCTGAACAGCAGCTGGCAATGATGCCACTGCTAATTTTTACAACAAAGTCTAGTGGGTAGCTTTAATGTGAGCGGCTGGTATAACTCGGGGAGGGGAGAACACACAGAGTTGCATTTTCTCCTGTGGCTGATGCTGGGATCAGCTAGAGCCCTGCACAGTTTCGGATGGACAGGGAGGTCACAGCAGGGAAACCAGCTGACAGAGGCAGGACAGCTTACGGCTGTAACAGAGCGAATGCCTCTGGGAGGTCACAGGTACCCAGAGCCCTGCTGTTTTCCTGGGACAGCCGGACTGGCAGAGAAGTGCAAAGTGCTCCCTGTTTTGCCTTGTGCAAAGGGGGCATCTAGGGGCCAGTCCGGAAAACTACCGGCCTCCATGCACAACTGCAACAAGAGGGAATGGGGAACTTCCTTCCCAAATTGCTGTCCTGGCCCCTTGCCAGGAGATTGGAGATTGCCTGTGATGGAGCTAGAGGAAAACAAAAGCATTCACATCTCTGCCGTGGCTGACAGACTTCTACGTTTCCTAATGTACAGATCATCTCAGCATCCCGCTGTAGAGATGAGCATAAACACACTTTGAGCAACCCATACCAACGCTACCTGCCACGGAGTGCCTAAAAGCTAGGGCAGACATGATAAAGAGAGACATTTCATATGTCCTATGTGATCTAGGATTGAGTGGCTTATAACAGATGCTACTTTGAAAAATTTTCTGGGCATTCAGTTCCTTCTCAGTCACAGTCCTCATCATGGATCTATACTAACCGTCCTGCTACAATTTTATTCCTGGTTGGAAAATTATGAGTTCAACGCAGTAGTGGGGAAAAGTAAACCTTCATAAAGTGAGGCTGCTCTCCTCTGATCCAGAAACAGCTTGTCCCTGCTGTGCATGGCATTGACTGCTCTGATGTATTTCATTCCACAGCTCGTGCTCGGAAAGGGATGACTGGTACAGCTGCATCAGCAGACACAGCCCAGATCACTACAAAGCTCACAACACTTCCACCTTCCACAGCAGCGTGGAGGTAAAAGGAAGCCAAGTCTTTCAATGCGTGAAAGGGGAATGGGAAAGGGAGAGAAAGAGGAAAGGAAGAGGGTTATAAAATGCAAGTACCTAGTAGCAAAACGTTCGTACTATTTTCCTTTAAACTAGCATGCCAAGCTGAAATAATTAAGCTCATCACAGCTCATGGGCCACCTCTGAAATGTTAATCACACTCTATACTCTGTGGTCTTTCCTTAAATAGGAGTTCTTCTGGAGGAAGACTATTTTCTCCTAAAGGGTAACTATCATAGATAAACTAAAAGTAGCCACAAACTTCATAGATTTTAAGAAAACAAAACTACTAATTAGTTACACAAATATCATACACACAATAAAGTCACTGCCAGTGCAAACCCCACCAGCAATATTCTAATTATACCAGCACTACTGATGTATATTATTGTTATCATTAATTTCAGTTGTACTACTCCCAATTAAGAAGGCAAAGAATGCATCTGACAAAAAGTAAAAACGCTATTTCAGGTTATGTAGAACCCCAGTTTTACTAAATAAGACTAACTGGGGGGAAAAAACTTTTCGTGAGGCTACACCTGGGGTGCTGTGTACAGTGCTGGGCTCCCCAGCACGAGAGGGACACGGACATGCTGGAGAGAGTCCAGCAAAGGGCCACGAAGATGATGATGGCACTGCAACATCTTCACGGAGGTGGTGGAGCCTCCATCCTTGGAGACATTCCAAAACCATCTGGACATGGTCCCGGGCAGCTGGCTCTGGTGGCCCTGCCTGAGCTGCGGGTTGGACCAGATGACCTCCAGAGGCCCCTGCCAACTTCAGCTGGTCTGAGACTTAATTTTTGAACACTTGAGAAAGTAAATAATGAATTCAAAAAACAAAACAAGATTTTCTTTTTGGCCTGAAGCTAATCTACTTTCAAATATTTAACAAGAAAAAATTAGAAATTAGTTAGTATAGCAACCAGAATCAAATCCTTTTTCAACAAATGAAAAAATAATTCCTTTTGCAGCTTTGCTTCTGACGTAAACCTGAATATGTACAAGGAGAAAACTGGGGGAATTTTATTTTTCTGTGTTTAAATCCTATTTGTCTGCAAAAGTCTAATTTCCTCATGGGAAACTTTCCTAACAAACAGTCCTTCAAATGCACAAGAGCTTGCGCTACCTGTGTCAAACACTAAGCTGCTGTGCACTGGCGGTGGGGTAGCCAGGTGCTGAACCTGAAGTAACACAGGTCCTCAGCACGATGTATTAGATTGGGTTCAGTTCCACACTGACCATGGCGCCCTGGGCTTGCAAGGTGGCACATTCCAAGAAACAGGAACAGTGAATACATTTTCTAAAGCTGCTTACGTATATTCAGATCACCCATGGAAAGCATGAATCAGATTTGGATTGTGTGGGGGTAAATTAATCTTTGGTTTTACTGTTTTCTGTACTCTCTCTTCCCTGATCACAGAACTGTCCCAAGGTGTAATGACACAAAGAGCTCAGGCCCTTTTTGACTGAAAGCTATAGAGCTTTTTATGGATATTATTTCAAAAGCTGTTAACAGAAAGATGGCTTTAACTCATGTTCTTACCTGCAATTTGCACATACAATGAATCAGACCCTTGTCCTTGGGGAGGAGTGTCACTGCCCAACCAAGAACGGATCTACGTGGATTTTCACCTGTGTTGACTCTGGCTTTAACAGCATCGTGTACTGACTGTCAACAGTCTTTCGGTGCGCAAGCAGCTGCACTTCACTTACAAGGTGCATTAGGAATTAGAAAATTTGGGGATCTTAGCAGGTGAAGGTAGACTGTAATGAGAGAACTGTATGTGATGGAGCAGGGCTGGCTGAGGGGAACTGGGAAGAGTGGATGCTTCTTCATTTGTTCTTGTTTGATTTTCAGCTAAGGGAGAGGCTTGGAATACCCTTGGGTGAGAGGCCTCCTACTTTGGTACCTGTGTCCCATGTCATGATGTGCATGAACTGTGGCTGTGACTTCACCCTCACGTTGAGGCGACATCATTGCCACGCCTGTGGGAAGGTAAGAGCTGCACAAGCTTCTCCGGGAGGCTTTGTTCACAACCCTAGGACACGGGCTGCTGCTGCTGCAGCTTCTGCACACTTGTAGCCACATCAAGACCAGAATCTGACTTCTCACAGAACCTGTCAGTGCTTTGCTAAATTAGGTAATTAGGTTTCTAATGACTCTAATAGGAACAACACTATTCTTCCCTGGAAGGTCACGTTAATTCCCAAAGGCTGGTAGTTGCAGGCTTGCAGGACTGATTGTTACTGAGGCCAGCCGTTGTGCCTGATACACAGCTAGCTTTAGAGACAACGAAGCAATACACTGAAAATACAGGCTCTGTTCTGAAAGAGACTAGCCCGTGTCCTGACCCTAGTAACAGCTAGCAAAGTTATCTTCCAAGAAAAGCAAAGAAACTCATCAGTAGAGCATGGTTTGGTCAGTGACCAAAGGGAGAGTTTCCTCTGTGCGCCATGAAGAGCTGGTGCCTCTTGCCCTACAGCCAAGGGATCCATGAGCATTCTTGGTTTGTCTCTGTCCCTGACTCTAGAGATTTGTTTACACACCTAAGCCTGCAGTCCTGTTTCAAACCATAGCTGTCTTTTAGCCTCTGATTTTTTTTTTTTTTAATCAAACTACCAGTAATTTTTGCTAGCATGAAAAAGCAATTACTTAATCTTTTTTCTAATTCCACAGATAAAATCAGTTTGTACCTACACAGGGCTAGTGGGAACATGCAAGCTTTCTTAAGAAAACAATGTTACCTATGAAAACAGAAGTAATATTAAAGTGGTGCTTTTGTGATTCACTGGTAGGCAAGGTATAAGTTCCTGGGGAGACAGGCACAGCCGTGGCGTGCAACCAGATACAGTGATCGGTTCTGCCTGGCTTACAGCGGTGTAAATCTACAGCAATCACATCTCAGTCAGTGCACTCACCCTGACTGCCACCGCTCTAGGAGAGTCCTATCTGGTCCACTATCCATCTTCTTCTCCCAGCCAGCTCAGAGGGTTTGTTTTGTATGTGCACATATATGAATTTAAATTATACTTACATGCACCTCTCCTTGCTGGAGCAGATTGTATGTCGAAATTGCTCAAGAAACAAGTACCCTATGAAGTACCTCAAAGATCAAGCAGCCAAAGTCTGTGACAGCTGCTATGTGGAGCTCAAGAAAAGAGGTAAGATTCCTTCATTCCTGGCAGAACTGACAAGCACATTTCCTGCCTGTGTAACGGAAAGGCGTTAGGATCTGCCTGCCGCGTTGTGCTTTGTTGAAGAGGATTTCTCATGTCAAGCACCAGGCATGGGCACTGAAGCTGTAGGACAGCTAGAACCGTTTTAGTAAGACAGGTTCTCTGAGGGCTCCCCTGGCCTTCTGATAAACCAGAATAACGATAAAAACCATATCCTGTGAGGAGCGGCTGAGGACACAGCGTTTGTCTCGTTGGGAGAAAAGGAGGCTGAGGGGCAACCTCATTGCTTCCTGAGGAGTGGGTGTGGAAAGGGGGGTGCTGAGCTCTTCTCCCTGGGAACAGTTCAAAGCTTCGTCAGGGGAGGTTCTGACTTGACATGAGGAAACATTTCATTACCCAGAGAGCAGCTGAATACTGGAACAGGCTTTCTTCAGGCGGTCGCTGCCCCAGGCCTGTCAGCGTTTAAGGGGCACTGGGACAAGGACAGCTGGAGTAGATGATTGTTGTAGGTCCCTTCTACCTGAAGTATGCCATTCTGTGATGTAATTAGAGGTGATAGCTCTTCCCCATCATTTCTAATGAATTATCCATTAAAGTAAAACAATGGCTTTACAGTTCCTCACTGTCCTCATCCATGTTGTAGCTTTTATGAAAAGAAATGCTGAGGTGAAGTGCAGAGTCACTAAGAGCTTTTCTATATGGGGAGTTAATCTGGTTGCAAAAAATATAATGTGCCTGAAATATTGTCACAGATAAAATGGTGGGGACAGATGAAGTTTAGTTTTTTCATCCTGATTAAAGAAATTCACACTAGCCAAGCAAACACATGGACGGATGCTGACACAACAGCCAAAAAGGATCCCCAAGCCACTGTGTGTCCAAGAAGTGAAAAGTCTGATCTGTGCTAAAACAACACTGTGGTTTACTAAGAGCTTCCAGATAATGTGTGTTGCCAGAAGTAAGATCATGAAGATATGAACTCAGACAAGTGGGGTTAATGGAGATCAACAGAGACAGAATAACTCTCCGCCATGCAGAGCTCAAAGACAATGGTTCATACAGAAAGAACATCCCATTAGTGAATATATCCCGCAAACGTGTTACAGAACATGAGAGCATTGACAGAAAAGCCATTTGCTTAATGCTGAAGGGTTTTAGAAGAAAACAAGTTGTGTTTTGTGCTTTGTCAGCTTTCTTGAAGGCTTATTTCAAGTAGCTGTGGGTTATTACCATTCACTTAGGATGCTATGAAAGCCACCCATCTAATCAGACTTAAAGGGGTGATTTGAAAGAAAAGCTAAAATAAAAACCGGCTATGGAGGAGGCGTTGCATTTTCTTTAGCAATTTGCATAAGTGCACTGTGTGTCTCTTACCCCTAGTCTGATTATGTACCAATTCATCCATTTCCCCCTTCCCTTTCTGAATTTTCTTTATCTTGCAGAGCGGCCACTAAGTGTGAGCTTCCCTCCAACTTCATCCAGGTGTTCAAACAGTGCCTTCTCCTCTGTCTTCCACAATATTCATTATTCATCTTTTAAGAAACAGAAGAAGATCCCTTCAGCTCTTATGGAGGTAGGACCAAGCTGCCCAAGAAAGGAAAGGAACTGTAGAGAACTGTGTGCTCATACTTCAGCAGCTATGTTTATAATTTATTCTGTGTGCAGTGGGCTCAGCCCATGCCCAGGTCTATGTTCATGATGCAATAATTTTTTTTCAGTTTTTCACAATAGAGTGTAAAATACAAAATACTCTCAGCTCTGAAGATAACCACAGAAGCTTCTCAAGCCCACTGTTACAGCAGTGTACTTTAATTTGCTCATCAACCTGTAAAGTCTTTAGAAAAATAAGACAACTTCAAGGTACTAGATAGTACAAGGGAGATCACAGACAACACCAAGTATCAACAAAGCACGATATACTGTTGATCAGTCACCTTTTCTGACGAGACCCTTACTTCTGAAATCTTACTTTGATTTCAAGAGAAATAAAATACCACTTACTTAGGGAATAGACTCTAGTCCTTGACAATCAACCCAGGAGCATGCACCTTCCTTCCAGCTCAAAAGAAACTATTTCAAATCAAATTGGTAAAATCTTGATCCCACCAATGTCAACAAATAAAATTCCCACCAATTTTGATGGGGCCAGGATTTCTCCAGCTAGATTAGTTTTCTTTCTAGGAACAAGGTGCCCATCATGTTGATGTAGTCCAGATAGCTAAGTGCCCCTTGAACTCAAGCACAGTAAGGGACTCCTGTTTCACTGAAATGAGCAGGTATTTATGGCTGTATTAAAGAGAACAGGGTGCAGACATCTGCTGAACTCATTGTCCAGTTGAGACACTGGAACTTCTTGATGTTTGTTTGTGCTGAGGTGAAACTGAGACAAAGATACAAGCATGTAACACAAACACACAAACCAAACGCTAAAAGAAGCAGCAGGCAAAATGCCAGCCCCGTTAGGAAAAAGCACTGCCTTTCTATGCACAGGGAGGCAGCGCATCTTTGCTAACACCACCTGCCTCACAATAGCATTGCTCCATAACTACTTCTAACTTGCTTTACCCAGGTCCTGGAACATTTCTGTTCTGCTGCAAAACACTGTTATATTACTGCTCAGTCTTCTCTTCTCTCAGTGCTACAAAAGCTAGTTTTGAAGCTCTGCCCTTTGTTTCTAAATCCAATACCATTGCAGTTTAGTACTGTAACTAATAACGTACACTGCACTGTGTCCATCCACTCAAAATCTGGATCTTTAAGAACATTAAGCACTTAGATCTCAAAATACCTCTGTGAGAGGGGTAGCTCTTCTCAGAAATATTATTTCACAAATGAAACCAAGTCACAGTCAAGTGATTAACAGAAACTGATATAAACCCACTGCAAAGTCCTAAATACACCCACATGTTAAAAGCGTTCAGCCACAGGGCTGTAATTCCCTTTTGGAAGCATGTACTTTTAATATACAAAAAAAAAAAAACCAGGAAAGAGACAAGTTTGGCTTCTCAGAACACAACAGTAAACTTGCTGATCTCAATAACAACTCAACTGCACACTTTCCATCAGAGTTACTGAGAACTAAGTTTAACCAGAAATCGTCAAACAGTTAAAAAGAACCGTCACACCATGCTTATATTTTTTCTGTCTTAATATTTTTAATGGTCTGCTTATGGCTTCATGGACGTAGACCTGGTTGTCTGGTGTGATGTGAACATGAACAATCAGGAGGGGAAAAGCTGTTACAAATCCTGATTTCTCCTACCCTGCTCCAGGTGGCAGCCTCAGGAGAGGGAGCTACCATCAGTGGTTACCTCAGCAGATGCAAGAGAGGCAAAAGGCACTGGAAGAAACGCTGGTTTGTTATCAAAGGCAAAGTCCTCTACACCTACACAGCAAACGAGGTACTGTGCAACGTCACTCGAAATAGTTTCCTACCCGAGTTCCCTTCTTTACTCCCTACAGGCAGCACAAGGAAATGTGAAAGGTATAACCAGCAGCTCTCACAATACCTGACCTGACAGACCAAGTCCCCAGGGAGCCGTCCTCATCTGCGGGGCCCAGCCACAGCCCCCGCTGGACCTTGGCAGCTCTCTTCACAAACTGCCCTTCGTTATCTTTCTTACTGTTCATGCTATCATAAACTGCCAGCCCCTGGGAACCTTAGTGCACATGTCTACCCCTAAAGACCTCAAGGTCCCTAGGCATTCTCCAGTGCACCTGGAACAGCCAGGAGTTTTGTAGATAGACGGTGTTGTAACCCATTGCTGGTGGGGAGGAGAATCCTGCAGTTTTGCAAGTACAAAGAGGATGTATTTGTTCTACTAGTACCAACAGGGAAACGCAGGAGGCAGTCTGCAGGGGTGAGAACAGGCCTTGTGTATTGGCCTGTCAGCTCCTCCTTACCGCCCAGAAGGATGGATATCAGCTAGATCATTTTTATGTATTTTGTCTCCTCCTACTCCCTTAATTACTTCTCCTTTGTGAATAGCTGCAACACAAACAAAGGACACAGGGTGCAGGAACTGTTGCAACAACATTAAAGTAATAGCTAATTTGACCTTCATGGCCATGTGGATGATCATGAAGAACTGGGCTTTCGGAGGTGGTGGACACGTTCAGGACTAAGACTAGATAAACACGCACAGTGCACAGGCACTGCTCCTGTTTAGGCGAGAGCCCCCAGGCCTGCAGAAGATTCACATCACTGCTTTTGCATCCCTGGCAGAGAGGGGTTGTATCACTGGTTGGTTTTCAGAAAGAGCCCTCAACCTGTTACATGCCCTCTCTCTAAATTTCAGTTCACTTCTCGTTTGCTTTCAGGACAAAGTTGCCACAGAAAGTTTGCCTTTGTTGGGTTTCACCATTGCCCCAGAAAAGGAGGAAGGAAGTACAGATACAGTTTTCCATCTCTACCACAAGCAGACTCTCTTTTACAGCTTCCGAGCGGAGGATACCAGTTCAGCACAGAGGTACGGGGCAACTTCCACACTAGCCAGTGCAAAGGTCCAGAAACACATTGGCTTTTTCCTCTCCTTCACTTCAGAATGCCTTCATAACAGAGGAAGCTAACAGCTCACAGGGTTGATTAAGCCCAATTGCACATGACTGGCCTGGGTGACATTAAAAATCTACCTGGTGCTTTTCAGCTCCTTCAAGGAGAATTTGCTCCCTCATAGAGGTAAAGAGGAGGCTGAGTCCCAGGAGTCACACCCAGAAGTCTGTTAAATGTGATTGCTGTACAGAAACTTCTCTGATGTGTTCTGTTTATCAATCTCTTAGTTTCCTCATCAACAAATAATTGTTTGGATTTCCCATTCTAATGCTACTGCTTCCACATAATAAAAGTAATGAAATTAGTAATAAAAATGCCAGCACCTCAAGACACAGGGAAGGAGGCGAGTGTTTATGGGAGGTTTGTTGCTTTTAAACTCACTGCAGTGGTTTCATCTTTCTTATTCTAAGACAGCATTTGTACTATCCCTGAGATTTTACAATAAATTACTGGTAAAGGTTGTACTAGAACGCAGGAGTCCTAGTACCCAGTTTCCTCCTTTAATCACAAAACTGTAGCTCCTCAGTAGAGCTGGGATGGGAAATACATTCCTCTTCACACTTTATGTTCTTAAAATGCATATAATTTCATATGCACCACTTTTTCTTTCCTGCCCTTTTTAGGTGGATTGAAGCCATGGAAGAAGCATCCATATTATAGCAGATATCACTCATTGGACTTGGAATAAATTCTCAGATTTCTGTACATTCCCAGCAAGCCTCTTCTGTCTCACAAAACTGAACAAACAAACTGGCTACGTACACTGGACATGAACTGTTTCCAGATTTCTCTCTTTGCTTCCTTCTTACATCCACATTTTTGCAAATGGAAAGTTTAAAATGGAGAATATTTATGGTGATCTTTATGCCTGTGCAAGTTCAACCTGTACTATAAGCTTCTCTGCTGATCCCGCTGTAAACTAAGTCTAACATCAGGACAAGAAAATACACAGAAATACTGACTCCAGTAAGTAGCAGGCTCGGTTTTACTTACCCTAGAGCACTATCATATCTCATTGGGTTGGTTTTGATGTCTACCATGAAATGAGAAACAATGTAGTAAACAACAAATGCTCATTTAAAGCACTTTATTATTTTTATTGAACTACAGCTCCATTTTTTCATGTTTCAAGGAGTTCTGTGGCCTGATTTATTACTCACCCATTAACAAGTGCCAGCATGAAATTATGCCCCACGTATGCTATATTGCTTCCACAGAAAATGGATGAACAACACATTCAATTTACCTGGTCTACCAACACTTTGATGGCTATAATCCAGGATAATTACTTACTACCAATTTATAATTTTACGCAGATCACTGTATAATTTATGTTAAAGGTTTCAATTTCGTACCACTGCAGTACTTCAGAACGCACTCCAGTAGCTCTACAAATCTAGATGTTCAGTCATATCACTTCTCCCTAAATACTGCAGACTCAAACCCAAAGGTTATTTTTAATTTATTGTAAACGTACAGACAGTTTTTATTTAACACTAGTCTACCTAGTAGTGTTAAGATTTTTATCATCTATTTAAATAGCCTATCTTTATTTTCAAAGCTCCTGTTGTTTCTGCTGTTCTTGTTATGAAAAATGTCTTCAAAAGTTTAATCCATGTAACCAGCACACTGTTTGAAACATGCTGGTGGGCTGAAATGCACTTGTCTGAACCTGCTCTGCCGGAGTGCTTGGAACTCCTGTAGCTAAATAGATCTTACACCAGACTGCTGTTGTGCACTGCACCTCAGCAGCCAAGCGTCTGCATGTCTTCAGAGATGCTGTGCTGCTTCACATCAGTGGAGGAGAGAGATCTCTGGAGTTTGGGGGTTTGGTTTTTTGTTGTTTTGGGGGTTTTTTGTTTCTGGGGGGGGGGGGGGGG